TGAGCAGGGTAGGGACAGAGAGAGAGGGAGACACAGAATCCAAAGCAGGCTCCAGGCTCCAAACTGTCAGCACGGAGCCTGACGCAGGGCTTGAACCCACAAACCGCAAGATCATGACCTGAGCTGAAGTCGGACACTTAACCGACTGAGCCGCCCAGGCTCCCCTTGCCAATGTTGTTTTCTGAATTTGCTGATTGTATTGCGTTATTAAACAGGATGTCCATGCATGCTAAAGTATTTGGGAGTAAAGGGTCGTGGCGTCTGCAATTTACTCTCAAACGATCCGGCAAACCTGATGCTACTGATAACCTGTACATAGATTAAAACAAACGACGTACGGGGCGCCTGGGTGGCTCAGTCGGTTAAGCGTCCGACTTCAGCTCAGGTCACGATCTCACGGTCCGTGAGTTCGAGCCCCACGTCGGGCTATGAGCTGATGGCTCAGAGCCTGGAGCCTGCTTCTGATTCTGTGTCTCCCTCTCTCTCTGCCCCTCCCCCATTCATGCTCTGTCTCTCTCTGTCTCAAAAATAAAATAAATGTTAAAAAAAAACAAAAACAAAAAACGAAGTAACATTGGTAAAAATCTAAGTGAAAGGCATATGGATTATCCTAGGTATCGCTCTTGCAAGGTCTCTGTAGGTTTAAAGCCAAATAAATACACTTTAAAAAAAGAAAAAAAAGGAACATCGGGGGCGCCTGACTGGCTCAGTTGGAGGAGCATGCGACTGCTATCTCAGGGTTGTAGGTTTGAGCCCCGCGTTGGGGGTAGAGGTTGCTTAAAAACAAATTTTTTTTTTAAGTTAAATAAACAAAAATGCCCCAAGGGACAAAGAAATAAAGGAACATCAGTTACATGCACAGCTGCATCTCCCAGATACTAATTCACGTCGGCTAATGTGCAAGGGCAGGGCCATGAGAGCCAGCAACGTGCTAAGTCCCAGTGGAACACTGGAGACATAGCAGAAATTCACTAAAGACATAGCAGTAATTCACTAACGCTGCTATTGCTGGAAACATTTGATCCAACCTACCAACCTCACAGGAAAATTAGTTACATTATATTATAATCACACCTTGCTTTTGACCCCAAACAGTTCCACGCACCTAATTAACCTTACTTCTGAAAGGATCATAAACAGCTAGAACTGGCAGCGGCCTTAAAGAATGCAAGCCTGAGCCATGTTACAAATGAGGAAACCAAGGCTGAGAGAGGAACCTTAATGTGCCCAAGGTCGTGGCTAATTCCATTTACTCCCAGGCCAGTACTGCTTTCCAGGCTCTGTCCTGACAACCCTGGAGTATCTTCCCCCAACTTTTGGCTATTGGCAAAACTTCAAGACAAGAAGACTTGTGTTTCCCCAAGGGGAAAAAAAAATTTTTTTTAATGTATAGGTGACATTGGGAGCCTTTTGAAAAGAGAGGGAACAAATATATTTTTTTATTTTTTTAATGTTTATTTTTGAGAGAGAGAGAGAGAGAGAGAGAGGCAGAGTATGAGCAGAGGAGGGGCAGAGAGAGAGAGAGGGAGACACAGAATCTGAAGCAGGCTCCAGGCTCTGAGCTGTCAGCACAGAGCCCAATGCGGGGCTCGAACTCACGAACCCTGAGATCACAGCCTGAGCTGAAGTCGGATGCTTAACTGAGTGAGCCACCCAGGTGCCCCTATGTGTGTGTGTGTGTTTTATTTATTTTTTTTCAATATTTATTTTTGAGAGAGACAGAGTGTGAGCAGGGGAGGGGCACAGAGCTAGGGAGACACAGAATCCGAAGCGGGCTCCAGGCTCTGAGCTGTCAGCACAGAGCCCAACGTGGGGCTGGAACCTACAAACTGCGAGATCATGACCTGAGCCGAAGTCAGATGCTTAACCAACTGAGCCACCCAGGCGCCCCTAAGTGTGTTTGTTTAAAACAAAAATTGTCCTGGTACTTTGTGATCAAATACATCCCATGTGATGAGGGCTAGTTTCAGAAATCTCAAAATACAGAAATTCAAACTTGCCTAACAGAAAAATGAGAGGATTGGGACATTGTCCTGATTATCCTTTACCTGTATCTCCCTCCAGGAGGCTGACCCCTTCACCTGCAACACCTAGACTCACTTACCCTCCAGGGAGAGGCACCGTAAGGAGGAAAGGTCATTTTCCTGTTGCCCATGACCAGCACTTTCCGGCAAATGCTATGTCCTTTGTGACTACAGCTCCTGCCGGTGGACCCTCCTCTGCCTCCAGCTCACACTGGGTTCCAAGGAACACCATGTCTTCCCCAAACCCCTTCAGGCCCCTGGGCGATACCAGCTTCCTGCTGTCCGTGTTCCCGTCACCCCCTATTGGCTCCTCTGTTCCTGCCCACTATTCCTTGAACAGTCCCTTTCTCTAATCCTCTATGATTGAACTAATCTTCAAGTGGAATTTTGTTTCCTGTAGGGACCCTGACAGATTGAGAAATGAGTTTGTGTGAAAGCAAAACATTTACTGCCATTTGTGAGCACGTGGTGCATTTCCAAGTCATTCTATTTTTGAAATGTCCCCTTAGCCAGTCTTTCCACCCACTGTCACACTGCCTAAAGCAAGGTACGAGGTGAGGCTGTGGTCCGCGGGGCGCTCAGTGCATCTCTGAGCAAGGACCTTGGGGAGACCAGCCCAGCCCCTCCCCGGTCTCCTGATGCCACCAACCTCCCCCCCCCC